TATTAAGGGGTATGAACTCACATGTAGTGAGTGATTTGGATGAAAATGAGGGATGAGGTGCTAGGTGTCAAGTAGAGACTTGAAATCACACACTGATCCTATTTAACATATAAATACACACACACACACACACATATATATATATATATATCTAATTAGTGATTATAACACTAATTAAGCAAGGAAAGACACCATAGAACATGGAAAACACTTTGATTCAAGTGTTATAAGATCATAGGGTTGCATCTAAGGGTTGTATGGGTGTGCATTGGAGTTTACGGTCCAGGAGTAAACTCTCCATGAGTTTACGGCCTAGGGTTTGCGGCCCTTATGGGTTTACGGCCGAAAAACCATGGTGTGTTGTACCAAATCGATGTTTAAGGTCCTAATATCAATGGGAAGGGTTTCTAGGCCAAGCTCTAAGCCTTAGGAAGGAATGTAGGGCAACTATGCACCCTTTATTAGAGTTTACAGCCAAGGAAGATTTCCATGGCCGTAAACTCCCTTGGTTGGTCGATTTTTGATGTTTTCAAGCCCCTAATCCATAATACTAACTTATAAACACGTAAAGGGGTTAAGGACTTACAGTTTGAAGGCTAAAAAGGGGAGTTTTCAGCCAAAAACACACAAGTGTTCTTGGTGTTCTTGAGGATCTTGAAGATCTGGGCATAAAAGATGGGATTGTGGATGGATTCAAAGATGAATCGAGTAGAAATGATGTAATCAACACAAAGATGGAAGAGTTAGCTTACATTAGTAAAGCTTGGAAGAAAAGTTGAAGATCCTTGGGAGAGAATCTCGAGTTCTCTAGCTAGAAGATGAAGAATGAAAGGAAGAATGGCTAAGTGTCACCTTTATACAAGGGGTTCATGGCCACTTGGAGTTTATGGCCGTAAACCCAAGTGTTTGGTCGTGAACTCCTCTTTTGATGGCCAAGGTTTGTTTGACAGGTTACAAGTTCAACTGACACATTCCTTCACTTAATTCATTGATATATTAAAGCTCAGAATGCTCAAACGGACACCAAAGGTGCTAAAAGTTAGCAGAAGTAAGTTTTACTAGATTGAAATGTAAGGTTTGTATAAGATAGAAATTTCGGGTTGTCACATCATCCCACCGTTAGAGAGAATTTATCCCGAAATTAGAGTTTAAGCAATAACTAGCACTACTAGAAAAACAGCCTTTTACGACGCTCATTGTGCGTCGTAAAACGCCCGGACGATGCGCAAATGCACGTCAAGGAAGGCCCTGTCATAAAGAGAGACGATGCGCATTTACGACACGCATTTATGATGCGCATTTACGATGCGCGGTTATGACACGCAATGCGTAATAAGGAAAGCCCTGTCATAAAGGAAGACGACACGCATTTGCGTGCCGTAACCTTATGATGCGCATGTTTATTACACGCAATGCGTATCAAGGAAGCCCCTGTCAAGAAAGGCTATGTCATAAATGATGACAACACATTTTTGCGTATCGTAATTTTAATTTTTTTTTAAAATTATTTATAGATTTACTGATTTTCAAATTAGATTTGCATTTCATGTCTCATAATAGAGAATAAAATACCATATACAAAAAATACAATTCATTTCACAAAAGTTAATGTCATACAAATAACCATTCCACTAGTAGACAAATGTAATACATCAAATAATCATTCCAATAGTAGACAAATGTAACATTTCAACATTTATTATATAATTAATTAAATTATTAGCCAAATTTCCTAAAATACCAACATACTTTTCTATGAAGAGCATTAACACTATTCTTTTCCATCAAAAACTTCAAAACCTGCATAATTAAATTAATGTATAATTACGTACAGAAATTTGTGTGAGCATATGTATAATTCTCTATAAACACCACATAGAGGTATATAAGTGAAGTCAGAAGTCAGAACTGTAAGTAAGGCTAAAGATGCAGCAACTCACATTGAAAAAGTTGACTGATAACACTTTGGAACCGTTCTTGGATCATTAGTAGAGGAGCAGGGGAAAAATGGGAATTGAGGACAAAATGATGCGGTTCCTGTTTTAGGGAAAATGCCACCAGTTGGACTGATGAGGTGACAGAAAGTCCATAAATATGAATTTTTAAAACAAAAAATTATTAGTTTTTAACATTTCTTTATAGAAATCCACACGTGTCGATTTTGTCTCCAATCACCATGTAATAATTGTTATTTATATGCTGCATTAAGATACACAAATTGATTTCTTTTCTATAGGACTTTAGAAATGTTATAGAAAAGTTGTATTCAACTACAAATCATTCTAAAAGGTCGTATCACAAGAATGATCAGAAACAAATGTGAGTGTCATATTGTGAGATATTTCTATCCAATTTTGTTATGTTTTCTAGATAATAATTTAGTGTGTCAAATCTTTTAGGTATTTAAACATATATGCATTAAGAAGACCGAAATAAACATAAAAAAAATCTTAATGTTATAATGTATTACCCACCATATACAACACCATGTACCATTGATTGAAATTCATTTGTAAGAAACTACCCTAAAAAGGGATCTCCCTATGAAGCAACAATCTGCAGATACAAACATTTAATAACATAAATAGAATAGAGATTCTTCATTTTTTATTGTTTTAGCCACTTAGGTATTTTCTGTAGTGATCGAACACTTATATGTTTTATGATGATTAAAAAAACATTATTTTATTTGGTTTACCTGATTTTGGAAAAGGTTATACATAGGAAAAAACAATGTATACTCAATTTTTTTGAATTTAGCCACCAAACTATTATGTAGCTATTGATTTTTATAAAGTATACTTTTTTATCAATTTCATTTTACTAAATTTATAATATATATATTCTTTTACCTTATTTACAAGCATGTTTACTTGTTCTCTATACATCTCCTTCAGGTCCACAATATCAGCACAAAGCTCTCCCAGTGACATAAAAGCAAAATTACCATGAAACCAATCAGTTATTCCGTTTGTCACTAAGATAAAACAAACTAGTAATAATAAAATAAGTAAACAAAAAAATAATATATAACTACCAAGATGGTACTAGTTATATGAAAATACCAAAACTACCCTTAATCAATCAAGGGTGAAAAGGTAATTGTACCTCCTCATCTCTTGCACCCATGAACTCTAGTACATCAGGGTGCCTTCGTCTTAATGCATCTAGTTCTTCTTTTATGCCAGACAACATACACTTTTGACCATAATTTTTCACACTGCACCAAAAAAAGCATATGAGATGAAAGGATGATATAGACGTTTATCATCCAAAATGTATAACATAATGAAAAAAAAAAGGAAACTCTACCTCCACTTTCAATTTAACCAACGCCTCAGCAAGAGAGTCGTGAATGGATTCCATGGATGTCTGAATGCTACAAATTAATACAAAACCCTTGATTTCATTGTTGTCCCTATTTTTCACCAATCTTACTTGTATAATGATGGAGATATAAATTAACATATTTTTCATCAGTTGATATAGCCCATGCCTAACAATGATTCACCAAATAGCACCCAAAATGTATTAGCACTTCTGTTAAAAAGTTTTAGTAATTAGTTAATAATCACATCACCTTCTTCTTTACCCTTATGTATTGATGAAGCCATCCATACACATCTATCAGTAATTTTTTCCTGTGGATCTTATATATTTCTCATGTTTTGACTTACATTGACTTCAGTTCCTGAGATGGCAACATCATATATCATAATATTAGTGAATATTATTATTCCCTCAAAGAGAAAAAGTAACACTTAGCTTCTTCGAGATTTACACATACTAGAATGGCATCATTTCACTAAGTGGCTTTGTTGGAGGCATATGCATGAAAAGAGAATTTGTAAAAAACTCTAATGAAACTCATTACCCAACAATCTTGACTAGGATCAAAATCAGCAGTATGAAGAACGAAAAATTATTTTGATCAACCGCAAACCAAACAAGAAGATTCAGTGCAAAGATTTCATTTAATGAGATGAGAAAATTTATTAAATGAAAAGAATACCATATTGAAGGGTATCCAAACTTGCTCGTTATAAATCTCAATTATTTGAATAGGGACATCATATTGAAGGGTATCCTTCCTTTGTTCAGCAATAAAAAACAAAGACATTATAAATATTTTGCATGAGATACAATCTTGTATAATTTATAGAAATGAGAAAGCTAGTTTAAATAAAAATTTGACCTGATAAGCTAGTTCTCTGCAACAAATCTCACCCAAGACACAAAGAGTAAGACATGGGTGAAAATTAACATTTTCAAATTGTTGGAGGATTACAAATGAAAATCTGACATGATAAGGTAGTTCTCTGGTGTGGCAAAGGACAAGTGCAGCAACTTGACCTGCTACAGGATCGATTTATTGTAGTGTAAAGAGAACAAAAACATCAATTTTCCCCATTCTAGACTTGGCTTGACAGATGAGATCCATTCATCAGATAGCCTGTGGTATGCACATGAATAGCCAGCTTGACACAAAAACATGTAATCCATATGGTTATAAATTTTTTTATATAATCTATATAGATACAAGATTAAAGAGAAACAAAGAGACAATAAGTACCTCATCAGCACCGTTGGTTATTTTTGATCCAACAACAAGTGATAACATCTGCAAGCCCCTAAAATGAAACCTAAATCATAACGATCCTCTGTAAAAAAGTTAGAAATAGATATAGTAGATATATAATTGAAACCCTCCCCGACTAGAAAGATTACCTCTCCATGCCCTAAAATGATTGAAAATGATAGTGAAGCAAGTACTCTATGACTACATTCATAATCATCACGGAAGATTGAGGTATCCATAAAATATGAAATTTAAAGGTCATTTTTTACAGAAAAATCGCCAATCAGATGACGAATCTAACAAATAGAGGAAGGAGAAGTGTGGTGAACCAGAGAGAATACGAAGGGTGGTGGGTGCATGGATGGTTGTCAAGCAGTATGGGGTAGAGAGAGAGAGAGAGAGAGAGAGAGAGACTAGTAGATTAAGACCATGGTGGATGAGGCATTTTATCAAACACGTTGCGTGCATCATCGATTCTTCCCCATTTACTGTATAAGTCAACAAATGCAGTGTTGGAAACTATGTCTAGATTAAGACCATGGTGGATGAGGCCTGCATGTGCTTGTTTGGCGTGTTCTAATGAAGCTAATCGTGTACACAATCTTACTATCATTGAGAAAGTGAAGTGGTCTATTTTAACAGCAGAATCTTGCATCTTGTAGTTGAGATCTAAAGCTTCTTCACTGTATCCATGAAGGGCGTACCCTATATTGATTGTATTCGAACCCATTGTTGTTTTCTCAAGAATTTCATCAAACACACATTGAGGATCCTCGATGCTTCCACACTTGTTGTACATGTCGATTAGTGCACATGATACGAAGATATGACTTCCACCCATTTTTATAGCACAAGCGTGTAATTGTTGTCCTGGAGAAATCCATTCCAGTAATGCATATGCACGCATCATGGTGGCAAAAGTAAGTGAATTGGCGTCAGTTTTTCCTCCCACTTTAACCAAATCAAGTAGTTGTGGCTACCTAAAGTCAATTTCCATATTTCTGTTTCTCTTTCTCCCATTCCAGTATCCGACTTTCTATTGCTGTGACAGAGAGTTTCCTTCCGTCGCTGGGATTTGAGTATAGTAGTATTAGTATAGGTAGGCGATGTTAGAGGTGGGAGAGGATGGTGGTGGGCAACATGCAAACTGTTTAGAGTTAAAGAGGAAGTGATAGTATGTCCAAAGAGCAGCGGAGAAGGGAAAACCATCGGTGTTGGTGAAGGATTTTTTTGGAAACCGATAAGATGTGAAAAAGAGAGGATTTAGCGGAGGGTGAAGAAGCAGCCGACTGAGGTGGTGGCTCATACGGTGATGGGCTGAGGACACAAAGACGACATCGGGCGATGGCTGTCGAGTCAATAGGTGAATATAATGATTGATCGTTATTACGATTTAAGTGAGATATGCAAAGCCTTAGGAGATCTCTGTGAAACCACATGTTGGGTTTTGGGTTAGAGAGAGAGAGAGAAAGGAAGACGAATACCTAGGTTTCTTTCTTGCTAATTGGAAGCGGAGGGGGTTTTATTTTTCACATAGGGGGGTTTTTAATTTTTGGGGATTTCATTTCCCACTCAAAACGCGTGTTTCATTAAAAAATATAAAGCGACATCCTTACATGACACACATTTTACAATAGGCGTCCTCCGTATTTTTTTTCTAACACTAATTTTAGGGCACGCACAAATACGCATCCTCTATATTTCAAATTTTATAAGAGATGACATTTATTTTAAGGAGCATGTTTTTGCGTATCGTAAATCACTACACGTCATTAAAGGCTGTTTTTCTAGTAGTGTAGTTACAAATAACTAAGAGAAAAGATGAGGATATTTGAGTTTCATTTGATCCTCGCGCTCCCAAATGAATTCAGGTCCTCGCTTGGCGTTCCAGCGAACCTTAACTATCGGGATACGGCTTTGTTTCGTTTGCTTGACCTCTCGGTCCATGATCTCTACTAGTTATTCCATGAAGATGAGGCTCTCATTGATCTCGATCTCGTCGAGTGGGATTACAAGAGTCTCATAAGATAGGTACTTTTTCAAGTTCGATATGTGGAAAGTAGAATGTATGTTATTAAGTTCGCAAGGTAGGTTGAGTTTGTAAGCTATAGAGCCGATTCTAGTGAGAATATCGAAAGGCCCTATGTATCTTGGATTTAGCTTCCCATGCTTTCCGAAGCGTATCAAGCCATTCTAGGGTTAGGCTTTCAAAAGAACCCGGTCTCCCACCTGGAATTCCAAAGGTTTCCTTCTTTTATCTGTGTAGCTTTTCTGTCGGTCTCTAAAGGCTTTCAATTGTTCACAAATCTGAACGATCTTTACTATCGTTTCCCGAATGATCTCCGGACCTGTGAGAGTGCTGTCAGGAATTCATCCTTTAGCTAACTGGGTGTCACCCAGCTCAGCCCAACACAAAGGGGATCTACACTTCCGGCCATAGAGGGCTTCAAATGGAGCAGCCTTGATGCTCGTGTGGTAACTATTGTTGTAGGAAAACTCAACAAGGGGTAAATGAGCATCCCATGCCTTCCTAAAGTCGATCACATACTCTCGCAACATATCTTCCAATGTTTGGATGGTTCTCTCACTTTGTCTGTCGGTCTGAGGATCGTAGGTTGTACTCATGTCTAGCCTGGTTCCTAGGGAACTTTGTAGCGACTGCCAGAACCTCGAAGTGAATCTACTATCTCTATCGGAGATAATGGATATAGGAACACCATGCAGTCGTACAATCTTCTGAATGTATGTTCTTTTAAGTTCTCAAACTTGTCAGTTTCTTTGATAGGAAGGAAGTGTGCGGACTTGGTCAATCTATTAACGATGACCTAAATGGTATCAAGTCCACCAGTTGTCTTGGGTAACTTGGTTATGAAGTCCATAGTGATCCTCTCCCACTTCCATTCTGGTATCTCTGGTTGTTGTTGTAAACTGGAGGGTTTCTGGTATTCAACCTCAACTCCGCTCGTCGAGTCTAGCAAGAACTCAATGGGTTCTTCTTCCTTCAAACTATTGGGACCATCTTCATCTGACCCGCCGAGTTCTTCCTTGAACTCAGCGACTTCATCTCCCTTATAAGAACATATCCAGTCTATGACTCGCCGAGTTGTAGAACAACTCGTCGAGTCCATCTTCAAGGGTTGGGAGATTGCATTCGACTCGCCAAGTCTATTCATAAACTCATCTAGTCCCATGGTTCACAGGTCCTTTTACGCATCTACACACCTACGAGACTTCCCTCCCTAACAACTAATCCATTCGTAGAATGGATTTGGTGGTCATTACACCTTGACTCGCCGAGTCCCAAGAACAACTCGGCGAGTTCATCCTTGACCATTCAAAACCATAGATATGGCCTCTTAATGTCCATTATATACGTAAAGTTCCAAACTTGGTGCACATGCATGGGGGTTTTAGCTCAAAAATTCATAAAAGGTGATCTACAATGTGCATGGAGCTCTCATCGCCATAGAGTTGGCATCTTTATGCCATGAGATCCTCCAATAACTCAGATCTGAAAGTAGAACTCCATGAATCACTTCACAAATCCGGAAATGGCTTAGAAAGCCCTAAATGCACCCAAAATCTAAGCCCTAAAGATGAACAACCAAAAGAAAGAAAAAAACATGGGGCATTTACCTTGGTTGAGCTGAAGATGAAATAAGATCTCTGGATCTACAAGTCCAACTTGAACTCCCAAGCTTCCTTCCTCTATTCAAGCTTCACAATCCACCAAAATGCATCAAAAATGTCCTTAGTGTTGGAATAGTGTCTAAGGCTGCAACTATATTAGGCAAGTATTTGATCCGGTTGTGCATGGTCCTTTTGGGTTGCCTTCACCATAGCAACTTGATGGATGATTTGTTAAAAGAGAGTAAATATTATAAGGAATAATATATGGTTATTTGATTAATATAAGTCATAGATTAATTGGAATTAATTTGGTGACTTAAAGAGATTAATTAAATAAGAGGGTATAAACTGTCAATTGTTTGATAATTACACTTTAGACTATAAATCCTTATCCTAGATAGGATGGACGATTTCTAGGGCTTGGATAAGCCAAAATCGTCCATAGGGTTATCAAGGAAAGGATATGGATCAACTTAAAGTCTAAGTTATCCAATTAGGGTTTAGGTTGTAACCCTTAAGGAGTCTACAAGTATAAATAGACCCTAGGGGTGAGGGAATTCGACACACCATCTAAAGTAGAGATACTCTGGCCGAATTCCTCCCCTCTCCTCTCTCCTAAATCATCTTGCTTGCTATTGGTGTTTGTAAGCCATTAGAGGAGTGACATTTGTGACTCTAGAAGCTCCAAGACAACAAGATCAACAAGGAACTCAAAGGTATGATTCTAGATCTGTTTCAATGTTGTTATTTAACCTAATTAGCCATTAGAAGTCTTGGATTCAAAGCATGTTTAATTAGAAAGCCTAGATCCAAGCATTAGGGTTTTGCATGCGCACATAGGAAAGTTCTTATGGCTAAAACCCATCAGTGGTATCAGAGCCTAGCTTGGTTTTCTTTAAATTGTTGCTTGATTAACTGAAACAAACCTGCAAAATTCGATTTTGGGTTTATGAGTCATGTACTCGGCGAGTTCCAAAGTGGACTCGGCGAGTAGGCCTGTACTCGGCGAGTCCGAGCGTCTGGATTAGGCAAAACCGGGATTTTTTCATGTTTATCTTATGGAAACTTACCTTAATCATATTAGATCAACCCTAATCCGATTTTTTGATATATATGACTATTATCTTGATCTAATTAAAGATATTTATCATCTAATAAAATATTTAATTTCCTTATGTGATAAATGATTAATTATTTTGATAATTATCTTAAAAGAAATCTTGGATAAATCAAATAAAGATAATTAGGATATTAATTGTTAATTGGAATTATTTGTTATTTGATCCTTCATGTTTTAAATGTTTAAAACCTACCCTAAAGTTTTGAAATTTATATTTGTGATTAAAAGTTTTAATTTAGACAACTTAAATTTCAAACCCTAGATTTTAAAAGGTTTTAAAATACAACCCTATACTAATATGATATTACTAGAATAATATATATATGTATAACTAAATGCTAGTCTTACCGTTAGTAGGCCTCATTCACGAAGCCGATCTATAAGGTGGGTATAAGGTTGCGGCCTATAAAATGGCGCTTAATGGGTGTACACTCACACCCACCGCTTGCTTGATTGGTGGAGGGTCGTTAGCCGAACGGGTAGGATAGGGCAACCTCATCTTCTCATTAAAAGTATAATAAGAAATACAAAGTAACTACACGTTTTAAAAATTTCCCAATCTTAGTTACTTTAGGAAAAGTGAATTGATGCAATCCCATGAAATTACACTTTGCACCTTGCTAAGAAGTTAGTGGAGCGTGTGTGGTTTACCGGCACACTAATTGGTTCTAAGCGAAGGTGGCAAAGGGTGATTCATTGTTTATCATAGTTCGATGGAGCGTGTGTGGTTTACCGGCACATCGAATAGGTGATCGTTACAATGAAGGCACCATGTGAATTTGCATGGTAATTCACACCCGCTTTGTGATCCTCGGCATCCCAGTCACAAACGAGAGGGGCATATCGAGATTTAAACATGCCATTGAATAGTTTCAATGAATCTCATCCGAACCTAGGAATTCTCAAAAACACTTAGGACTAATAGTTTAAGTTTTGTAATGGAGAATTAGTGAATCGTCATTCACTTACCTTCAATTTATTTGCATGTTAGATTACGGCATCCCTTTTCTAGTATGTAAATGTTATTGTTGGATCCTAGCCCTAATTTTTCTTATTGGGTGATAATTAGGGATTCTTATTCTAATCTATCT